AACCATTAAGTTCTGAACCTACCACCCGGTTCTCCTCTCACACACAGACTGAGAGTGATTTCTCTGGAGGAGGATGTATCTCCTGAGGGAAGTAATGTACAGAGGTCTGTCTCCTCTGAGACACCAGCTGCTGGAGAAAGCGCACAGGCTGTGCTATTTAGAGAAATTGAATTATGGCGTGTGATTTTAATAACCGAGCCAACCCACAATGTGCATTTTTAGTCTAGTGATTTAATATTTCCAATCATCACACTGTGCCCCGCCCACACCAGTAAAGAGCATCTCTGATTGGCTCTTAACTCTCCGCTCTCCCAATCATGTCATAATTGATTAAAGAATGAATGATCTTCTGCTTATTATCCCCAACAGAGGCTTATCAATCATCACCGATCAATAACAACTAAATCATTCAATGTGTTAATATAATCTCTTTCTCATAACAATCTTTATTTTACCTATGTTAACGCTCCTGTAAGCAGTTTTTAGGCAAGGCAAGGCAAGGCAAGGCAAGTTTATTTATATAGCACATTTCATACACAATGGTAATTCAAAGTGCTTTACATAGAAGCAATTAAAATAATCAAAACAAATAAGAAATATTACAACAGTTTAGAATAAAAAAATAAAGTACAGTAAAAACAGTCGGACGGACAGTGGCACAGTGCTCATTCAGTAAATGCATAACTAAACAGATGTGTTTTGAGTCTGGATTTGAAAGTGACTACTGTAGGAGCACATCTGATCTCTTCTGGAAGCTGGTTCCAGCTGCGGCTGGCATAATAGCTAAAAGCAGACTCTCCATGCTTAGAGTGGTATTTCTAGCTGATGTGATCCTAATGATCTGAGTGATCTGTTTGGTTTATATTCAGTGAGCATATCTGCAATATATTGAGGTCCTAGGCCATTGAATGATTTATATACCAGCAGGGACGGACTGGGGCTAAAAAACAGCCCTGGACTTTCTCCCAAATAGGCCCATCATCCAGCCATTCGCCCCTAGCCACTAGGATGTCCTGATACTATGCCACAATACTGTAACCTATATCAGACAAGGTATTCACAGCAAGTAATATCTCAAAAACAATGATGACAAACAATTGGGGTTTTGTTTATTAATGAAGCCTCAGTCTTCAAATAAAAACAAAAAAATGTACAATGCCATTACATCTGCATTGAAAATAAAATACAAATAATGAAATGTCACTGGCTACAGAAACCCTAATTACACAAACTTGTAATTATAAAACATTTAGTTACTATATACCAGGGGTCTCCAACCTTTTTGTGTGTGAGGGCTACCTCAAGGGATAAAATAATTTAGAAGGGCTATACTCAAAAATATTTATTATACATATAACATGGTGGTGTTTTTTTACCTTACCTTTACTTTTAACTTTAACTTTTTTATTTTTCACCATCATATGCGAAATAATAAAATATCTTGATATTCTGGTTCAACAATTGGTGAAAAATGTGTAATATATATATATATATATGTATATATATATATATATATATATTATTCTCTAAAACCCTATTGTAGCATAAACATTTAGTATAAATATTTAATGCAAAATAAATAAATAAACTGCCATAACTTCTAAACAAAAACATTACTGCATTACATTTAATAGCCTACATTTATAGGCCTACATGACTATTAATATAACAGCATTTTTAATATGAATACAGGCACATTTCTGCCAAAAAAGTTTGTTTTACTAAGTTACAGTTAATTCATAAGTTGTGGAGTGAAATGTCTTCTAACTGGTTTGTTCTTGGAACAATGTTTCGCCTGTTTTTTTTGCGTCAAGATGTTGAGAATATCAGCGCTGTTTAATCTGGCTTTTAACTAGCTTAAATCACAGCCATCTGTGGGTTTATAATAGAGATAGAGAATTCTGCGCTGAATTGAAATGCTTCTCAGTGGATCGCGCAACTCTGTGTAATAATGTTCGCGTGATCGAGATCAGTCCGCACAGCTGCTTCGGCCGCGATCGCAGTTTTTTTGGGCCGAGCTGATAATGCTCCGCGCTGGCATCCAACTTAAAGGTACATTGCTGCCACCTACACTACTGGAGTGTGAAACAGATTAGTGGGGGGAAAAAACAGGTTATGACTGCGTGTGTGGCGGGTGGTGGGCCGGCCCGCCGGCCGTCCTGGAGTACCGGCCGTTCTGTGATACTCCAGATCACACAGATGGCCAGTCCGCCCCTGTATACCAGTAATAATACTTTAAAATCAATCCTAAATGTAACTGGGAGCCAGTGTAGAGACCTGAGGACTGGTGTGATGTGTTCATATTTTCTGGTTCTGCTCAGGATCCTGGCAGCAGCGTTCTGTATGAGCTGCAACTGTCTTATGGTCTTTTTAGGAAGGCCAGTGAGGAGTCCATTACAATAATCCACCCTGCTGGTGATAAAAGCATGCATAAGTTTCTCTAAGTCTTGATTGGAAACAAAGCATCTAATTCTTGCAATATTTTTCAGATGATAGTATGCTATTAGTAGTATGCTATTAGATAGTATGCTGTTTTTAAATACTTTGTTTATTTCAATTATAGCTTATGACTGGCATTTTATTTTATTTTACATAATTTAATTTAAAATACAATTTTATTGAAATATTTAGCTTGTGGGTTGGTTTTATTTAATTTTTTTTAATTGTATTTAATTTAATTGAAAACTTATTTTACTTAGCACTCAACCCTGTGCTCGTGGTGTTTGAGTTTTGGGCAATACTACCTGTTTGATTGAACAATGGTTGCCATCCGAATTATGTAAAAACAAAATATATATATGAATATTTTTTGTTATACTTTGTATATATAACTAAATATTAATAACGATACGTTATTTATGAAAGATTATTCAATGCTGCCTTAAAAGTGCTGCTTAATTTGGAACAGTTGGGCTCCAAAACTATATGTTGGAGAGAAAACAGTATAAGTAGGTTACTGAGGAACCCTGATTTTAATTTAATTGGTTGTTTTTAAGGAAGTTACCGGCATTACCGGCTGCCACTGACTTGGATTAAAACTTTACGATCTTTATTGATGCTTTACTCAAGCGCTTGACAATACGGTTTATGATTCATAAGTGAATGTGTTTTCTTGATCAGCCGGCGGTGAGTTATTGACGGCCGGGGAGGAGAGGCACGTTATCACAGAATTATACATCATGTTATGAATCCTTTAGCTGGAAGCTCAAGTGTGCTTGTCATCTGCTTCTCCTCATTTATCCGAAAGAGAGCGAACCTTTCTTACTTCATCATCTTCTCTTTCTTCCTCTTGAAATATAGAGAAATCAAAGGAGAGAGCGTAGGCTATGATTAACTCCAGAGAGATTGAGATACGAGGGACGCTGAGAGAGAGAGAGAGAGAGAGAGAGAGAGAGAGAGAGAGAGAGAGAGAGAGAGAGAGAGAGAGAGAGAGAGAGTGGAAATGACAGTTGGCTTCCGGTGCGTAGCGTTAGATTTTGTTTTGTGGAAAGAGCGGATATTCTTAATCTTTCTCTCCCTTGTGACATCACTCGTTAGTTATAACCATCCCGGTGTGACAGGCTTCGCTCCGAGCGGGAGCACACAGTGATGCAATTAAGTCAAAGTGCGTCATATACATGCGTGTGTGTGTGTGTGTGTGTGTGTGTGATGGACCCAGAGGGAAGGATAGAAGGAGAATGGCCGTTGGTGGGTTTAAGAGTTGGACGTTGATCCGTTTACACTGATGCGGTTTGGCTCCAGAAATTTGTGAAACTGAAGTCAACAGCACTGGACTGACATGATGTGCAGTGTTCAGAGCATGTGTCATTTTTAAAAAACATTACTCATGCGTGCAATTTAACATGAGCATTCAAACAATATCAAAAACGGTAAAAAAAATAGGTAATTCTATCAAACGTGCGCCTTTGAGGTTCCAGCAGTTTTCAGTTTGATAAAGGGATTTAAAGACATTGTATGTTTAATTTTAAACACGCACTGAGATGTTCTGTTTCATATCTGTGATGAGCTACAGTGTGCTTAATGCTAATATTTGATACTAATATTCACAGTGTCTGCTCTTAAATTATTATAATTCAGATTTTTTTATTTTATTTTTTATTATGGAGTAGTTCATTGCAAGAAGAAAAAAGGTGCTGAATTCAATTGTGCATTTTTGCTAGCAGAAATTGGAAATGCAAGGTTGAGGACACACCAAAAATATTTAGTTAGTGTGTGTCTGTGTATTCCTTGAATGTTCTTTCATTATTTCCACAATAAAATCACATGTTCAATCTGGGGACACAAATTCCAATAATATATTAAGTCAGTGGAATAAAATAAATTTAAAAAGATGGATAATTTAATTTGTTTATTTAATAATTTAATTTAAAAAAGTTTTTTTATGCTGTTGGAAAATGTAAAAGGTAGTAGCATTGGATGTTTTCCATATAGTCCTTTTAAACATAAATACTTACTGTATAAGGGATGCAAATGGCACCCATTTTGTAGAATTTTGTGTTTCCTCTGCTTTTATGGTCATTGATAGAAAACCTGGAGTGAAACCTGACTTTTCCATCACTTTCGTCCATCTTATCTGTGTTTTGTGGAGTGTGTGTATGTGGATTATTATCCCGCCTGGTCAAAGATATCTCCCTTGATAACGTCAGACAAGAGCTTGACCACTTAAAGGACACAGACAGCTTATCCTAGATCTGTCTTCAGAAACAGAGGGCCATTGTGGGTGCAAAAGTGGCACTGTACAGGGTTTTTTACTCTAAAGCAGTGTTTTTCAATCCTGATTAATTGATTGATTGAATTCATATTTAATAATAATAATTATTATTATTAGTAGTAGTATTATTAATACATATTCATTATAATAATATATATTTTTATTAGGTAAATACTTTATAAATCAATGAATTCATTGATTTATTTAATATGAATGAATATTACAATTCCTTAGTAAACTAAATATTCATAATTCCTTAATGAATCTTTCTTTTTTGTCTGCTTTTCAGAAACATTAATGGACACCCGGACCGCCACAGCAGAGCTCGGTTGGACGGCATACCCTTCATCAGGGGTGAGTGTGTGTTTGTGTGAATAAATGACCCACAGAATTCCTCACACTGCTAAAATACTTAGCCTTTGTCTTTTATTTTTAGAAGAGCACATTAAACCGAAACCTCCTTGTATTCACCCTTCAGCAACAGCTTACTAGATGAAGAGAGACTAAATCATTTGTCTAATTTGCCATAAAATATGTTTGCACTGTGGAAGAAATGGTATCTTTAAGATGTGTGATCACATATCATATGACAGTAAAAGAGCACACACAAACCTTATTCTAATATGGTGCTGTGTCTGAACAGTGAAATTAAGAGATCAACGTCTCACACACACGCGCACACACACACACACACACACACACCTCTTTCTCTCCCTGCTAGGTACAAAGCAAAACCCTCATTGCAATCGCTGTACGCATTACACTCAGTTCAGAAAGACTTAATGACATAATGGGTCCACTTAAGGTAAAAAAGCACCTCTGAATCCATCTAAATGTGGTCCGGAGGAGAGCGGGCTACTGTAATGACAGACGCAGCCTGCAGAGAAATATAAAGCTTTCATTGAACTCTCAATAAGGGCACACACAATTGTGAGTGTTTTCCGTATTATTTCATGGAGGTTCTGTAGAAAGTGATACTGTTTCCGTTGGATACTGTTGTCGAGTAGAAACATATATTTGCATGATAGCACTCTGACTGGCGATTTTATCAGTGTGAACAATCACTTTTGTCCTAACCATCTGCATCCATGCATGCGGCCGACGGTTTTTGGTTTCTGTAACGTCCTGCTCGTAGCTCCACCCACACTGAAATCTCACTGGTCTCAAATCATTTTACTTCACATTACTATGAAACATCAAAATACATTCTGATCAGCTGTGATTTAGTTGATTCATGCAATTGTTTTCCTTCGAGGACAGAACAAACTGGAACATTTTGTTAAAGCCATTTGTTTAAAGAAGGTCTAAAAATTAGTCTTAATTATAATAAGATTGACTGGAGTGAGCTATGGTGTATTCAGAGAAGGTATATTGTTACATTTTTCTAAGAGATTGCAGGATCCTCTCTCTCTCTCTCTCTCTCTCTCTGGTTCGTTTGACCAGCTGTGCTATAAAAAATTAATAATAAAAGTATCCACAGATGGTCACCGGAGGACACACACACCCACACAGGCATATGACACACATCTGACAGTGATGGACAGGGAATTTAGTGAGAGGAAATCCATTAGCTCATCATGTGACAGACAGCCATATTCCCCCCTGTAATTGGTGCAGTTTGCTGAGGCAAGCATCACTAATACTATTGCTTAAGGTGAAGGATTTGAGCAAACACAAATTATTAAACTTTGTGGTTGCATGCTTTGCACTTTGACAAGCACCACTCACATTTACTTCAGATAATGTCACATCCATCCATCCATCCATCCACTCTTCTGCTCTTTTCTCATCACTTCATTCTCTCTTTGGGGTCACATGTGAAGGTTTAACCCTGCTCGTCCTTCACACGCACAATTGACTGCTTTCATGATTCATTCACACCATTTGGCAAATTCTCACAGCTGCCCCTCTGCAACACACCCGCATCAGTCTTTCTCTAATAGATCTCGCTTTCCATTAACCCCACACCCTTCCTTTTCTCTTAAAGAAATCCCTAAAATCCCCAATTCCTTGCAGACCTCAGCCGGCCACTCCTGCTAAAACGGCTCACGCACGCATCTTGAGCTCGAATGGCCGATTGTTCCCCTCTGTCCCTGCGATTACCTTTCACGCCTGCTTGCCCCGTCCCTCGCCCTGAGGTCAGAGGTCGGCTGCTTCCTCAGCAGCCCATATTTAATTCATCACCCCAGTTTGTGTGTGTGTGCTCCCAGGAGACTTCGAGATGTGCTCTTGATTGTATGATGTATGTGCCATACCATAAGTTCTCTTTCTGCTGTCACAGCAATCGTACTTTAGCATGTGTGAACGTATCGATCATATGGAGTCTTGAGTGATTTGCAAGGGAAAGTAGACACTCACTCCATATGAATCTGAATGAATTGTCCTGGCTGTGTCACGTAAAAGACTCGTAGTTGTGCATGCAACAGGAGCAGCGCTGCTGGGTGTTTATGACAGTCACATGATGTGAATATGTTAAACAAATTTAGCCAGGGGACAGTGTCTGTGTGTATGTGTATGTGTGTTTTTACACTTAATCTACAAACCTAGAAATTGTCTTATTAGTGTTGGCATTATTTTAGCTTAAAAACTTTTAGCAAAAGGGATAGTCAAGATCAGTCATCTTTACTCACCTTGTTGTTGTTCCAAATCTGACTTTTACATTTAGATTGATGCATTTGGCAAATACTTTTATTCAAAGTGACTTGTGCTACCAAGCAAAAGTTTGGAGTTTTTTTTTTTCTAAATGTTTTTGAAAAAAGTCTCTTATGCTCACCAATGCTGCGTTTAATTTGATTTGACTGCATTTGATATTGTGAAATATTATTACAATTTAAAATAATGTATTCCTGTGATTCTGTTGAATTTTCAGCATCATTACTCCAGTCTTCAGTGTCACGTAATCATTCAGAAATCATTCTAATATGCTGATTTGGTGCTTAAGGCCCTGTTTACAGTTGGTATTAAGATTTTTTTTTTTAGTCGATCGGATCACAAAATTTCACTAAATACAGGTGTAAGCGGGGTCTAAAACGTTTTGAGCTTTTCCACTTTCGACCACTTCTAGAGGTAGTTAAAAACGCATTCAATCGCATTGCTTTCGTAGTGTGCTCATGTGGTCGAATGTGTTCGAACAGCCACAAAAGACCGCCTACTGACTTAATGCGTTAACATTACGGGAAACGCGCTAGCCAGACGGGATTTAAACTTTGTCAGCTGAAGATCCAAGTTTTATTTAAAGATGAAAAACATACTAAGCACAGTGTTCTCTCACAATTCCTGATTTCTCACCCGCTTTCAGAGCAGAAACGAAAGGCCTTGGCATTGCTAGTGTCATGCTCTACTGTTTAAGCTCTACTGTAAATATGATTTTTTTTTTTTTACAATCACTTAAAGCATAGAGGCAGTCAAGCTCCAAAAATGAAAAGAATAAAATAAAATTACATGCATTACATTCTGTGCCATACGAGATTTATTTTCTATCGTAGGCCTTTCTTTCTCTGTCTCTGTGCCTCATGATTCCCTTCAATGGTTTCTCTGGATGGGCCAATTGAGAAGCCTTTGCTGCTGTTGTATAAAAAAGACTCTTGTGTTGTGTGTGTGTGTGTGTGTGTGTGTGTGTGTGTGTGTGTGTGTGTGTGTGTGTGTGAGTGTGTGTGTGGTAGATTAAAAAAGGCCTTAATTGAAGTCTACCCAGTCTTTTGCTCTTCTGTTCCCCTGAAAGCAATTTAGCCCTCTATCCTTCTCTCTGACAAGCTAAACAAGGGCGGTCACTATCTTTTGCTGTTTTCTCTTAGCTCAATCACAGCCGACCATGTGCCTGCAGCTTTTCAGATGCCCTTTGTTCCATTCCCTCTTTATTCATCTTTCATTTTTCCCCTTTCTTTTCTAATCTCACACACTCATTCTCACTCAGTCTGGGAAGTATTTTGCTTGCCTTACACTGCAAAGAAACATTTCTGATTCAATACTTGTGTTGTTTTTCAGTTCAAATATCTAGACATCTGTGAATGAAATCAGGGTTTTGTATACACTACAAGGCAAACATTTGGGGTCGGTGAGATTATTATTATTATTTTTTTTTTTAATGGTTTTGAAAGACATTTCTAATGCTCACCCAGGCTGCATTTATTTGTTCAAAATACATTGAAAATGGTTGGAAACATATTGTAATAATTACAATTTAAAATAACAGTTTTGTTATTTGTTATCCATTATGTTTTCTATGTGATTGTGAATATATTTTAAAATGTAATTAATTCCTGTGATGGGAATGCTGGATTTTACAGCATCATTATTACTACAGTCTTCAGTGTCTATCTATCTATCTATCTATCTATCTATCTATCTATCTATCTATCTATCTATCTATCTATCTATCTATCTATCTATCTATCTATCTATCTATCTATCTATCTATCTATCTATCTATCTATCCATGATCATCTATCTATCTACAGTATCTATCTATCTATCATCCATCCATCCATCCGTCCATCCATCCGTCTGTCCAAGTTAAAATTCCTGCCATAAAACAAAATACAGTTTTATTAAATACATTGGCATACGTATTAATTAAAAATGGATACATGTTGGTTACATATCACACATTGATTCCAGTAAAAGTACTGTGTGTAGCGCAGTGCTGCATGTAGTATTTTTTGTCCGTTCTATAGTCACAGTGTAAAAGCATGTGAGCCTGCTGTTGCTTTGCTTTAGGTGCTGCAATGTGTGCAGTGTGAAACAGGTGAAACACTCTAGCAGTATGTGTGTGTTTAAGTATGTGCCTACTATTGGCCTGCTACATATGCCACATTTCCATCTCACTAACGAATGACCAACCTTAGATTCATACCACACATAAGCTTGAGAAACTTGCTGTAGCTTTTGTAGAATCATATTTGAGAAGAGAAGTCCAGACATTTATTGATGTCTAAGAGCAGACATTGTACAGACAATGCATATTTCCTTAGGGATTTACACCTTCTCTTTTATAGTAAAATCTGTCAGAAGAAAAAGGCAGGAAAGAAAGACCACAAACAACTGGGGGACACACAGAGAATCTTTCGTATGGTCAGGATATATTTCATCTGTATTCCTTTTCTCAGCTGTCTTCACATGAGATTTTCACTTTCAAGAGGGGTGGTGTTGCTGTCCCTTTAATTTATGTTAGTCAAAAAACACACACACACATTTTTTATTATTATTACTGTTATCCATCCTTTCTTTAAAACTTAGAAGTGAACTTTCTTTGCTACTGTACCTTTAAATCAAAAATGGACTGTTATAATTGGTTGATCTCTTCTCATGTGAAGTGAGTTACAGCATCCCTGCATAGTGTAAATGTAGGTGACCAT